GGAGGTGAGGCAGGGAGGCAGAATGATCCAGAGTGTTGCCTGGTCCTGCACTCCAAAGGCCATGCCAGTTTCGAACCCGTTCCTGTGAGTCTCACTTTCGTCCTTCTTGCTGCAGGCTGCCTTTCTGGGTGAGGGTCCCTCTTTCTGGACACCTAGCATGGGTCAGTCTGCCTTCCCTAGTCTGGTGGGACTGGTTTTTCAAGCTGGAGGAAGGGTCGGTGAGGAATTGGCAGAGGCAGACAGTTTTATGTAAATGCCCAGGGAGTGCTCTGGGAACGGGGAGGCCGGTTTCCCCAAAGACACGCAGGGACTGGCCGCTCCCAATTAGCCGGGGCTGGTGATGTCAGTGCTGCTTTCCTGGGTGGCTGCGCCCACTCCAATCGGCCTTGGCAGGGGTTCCTGGCCATTACCTTCTTCCTCGAGTGGGAGGGGTGCCGAGGGGGCCACCATACAGGACGGGGGCCAAGTCCCCTCCCACCGCACGTACTCCTCAACCTGAGGCTTGAACCACGCTGTGGACCAGCCCTGGAAAGTGTCACGAAGAACCAGCCCGGATTCTACTGAAAAAGACTTTAATGGGGCTAATATTCCAACCTTCCCCCCAAACCTGAGACGCTGGGGAGACCTCAGTGGCCGGGCTGGTCCCAGAGGCTGTTGCCATGGCAACTGCTGGTAGATGCCGCTCCCCAGGCTGCCCCAACCCCAAGTTTCAATAAATACAGTGCAAAGTCTGGGCACCCACCCAGCAGGGGAGACAAGGACCCGGAGTGCTAGAGAGGGCAGGTCGCATGGTCTGTGAGCTCACACGTGCACACACTGAGAAACATACACACCGAGGATCGTGTGCACACACAAGAAACCCCCTCTCAGGCATCCTCACGTGACACACCATCCTCACATACACACTCACATCCATCCATATATATATATACACATTATCCTCAGGTACACAGGGCGGAGCACTCCCATCCCTTCCTTACAGACACGCGCGAGGTTCTGTATATATGTGCCTCTCTCTCAGGGCTTGGCCTGGAGCCCGGGTGTCCCGTCCTGGCTCAGAGGAATGAGAACAGGTGGGTCTTCCTGGTCTTGGCCAGGTGATACCCTGGTCTAGGGGCGAGCTGTTGTGGTGTTTGCCTGGTTGACCATGCAGTTGGCTGTGGTGTTGGAGTAGGCCCAGGAGGGGAAGGTGTACAGGCTGAAGATGGGGAAGCTCCAGCTGTTGATGGCCAGCGTGATGACCAGCACTCCGATGATGTTGAGCAGGAATCCCGTTCGGGCCTGGTGTGAGGAGAGCCAGTCTGAGCGACCCGTTGCTGAGCCGGGCCAGTACCCAGCCCTTGGTGTTCACGGGTGCTCAAGAGCTCTCTTACCAGCAACACTCTCCCCGGAAGTCTGCCTGTGGGTCTGACCCGCAGCACCAGGCAGCGCCCCCTCCCTCTTGCTTTAATCCCGATGCTAAGAAGGGAAAAGGAAGCCCTTCCTGAGCGTTCAGGGCCTTGGGCTTCGTTCGAGTCCTTCTCCCCAGGTACAGGTGCCCTAGCACCTGGGAGCCTTCCCTAAATTCCTCACCCCCTCCTCTCCCTCTCGCGTGGTTGGCAGGGTATGAAGATGCTCCGGCTGGGGATCATGGCACAACCCTCCTGCTGTCCCCCAGCCTGCACAGGCTTTGCTCTTGACGCTGAGAATCTCAGTGGCTTTAGGCTTCTTTGTGGTCCACCAAGAAGGGAGGACAGAGCAGAAAGGAGCACTGAAGCACTCAGGTCCCACTGCTACTCACCATATCAGACACCTTGAGGCCTCCGAAAGAGAAGACTATGGCGTTGGGTGGGGTGGCCACAGGCAGCATGAAGGCCAGGGAGGCAGACAGCGTGCAGGGGAGCATGACATAGAGAGGGTGGAGGCAGATGGCCTGGGACTGGACGGGGAGACAGTGGGCAGAACTGATCCCAGTCCTCATCCCAGAGAGGAAGAGGTGGCCCCCAATTCTCCCCCTTCCTCTCTCTGGGGGACAACCTTCCCCGCCCCCCAACAACATAGACTCTGGCCATGAACCCCACCACTTCTGCCAGAAGGCACTGGTGACCTGGGAAGGGCCCCTTGACCTCTCTGGAGGGGATGAGTGTGCGGCCCTGCCCAGCGGGGCGTGGTGAGGGGAGGGGCCCATAAAACGGATCTCAAAGGGGCTCTGGGGTGTCATCAAAGGCTGCGGGAACGCGCCACGGGAGGAAGGGGCTGGGGACGCTCCAGGGAGTAATTTCAACCTGTCACCTCAGGACTGACCAGAACAGGGGCTGGGCCCGGGAGGTGGGCGAGGCCACCAGTGAGGCCCATCAGGATACTCAAGGGGTAACGTCACCAGGGATGGAGTGAGTCAGGGGCCAGAGGGCCTTGTGGCCCGAGGTAGCTGAAAAGTCTGGGGAAGGGCGGCAGCTCAGGGGTCTTCTCCCGGAAATGAGACGAGGTGCAGACAGGTCACTCCAACCCGCAGGTGGGGCCCCTGGGTGGGATGGGGTGGGCAGGAGGGCTGCCTGGAGGAAGTGTGTCTGCAGGGCCAGCTCACCATGGAGGCCAGAATGGGCAGGAAAAGTGTGGTGGTGGCCACGTTGCTGGTGCACTCAGTGAAGGTGGCAATCAGCAGGCAGAGGATGAAGGCAATGGCGGGAGGTGGCACATTCTGTAGCGGGGTCAGCTTGTCCCCCAGCCACTCGGACAGTCCTGATTTCTGTGGCAGAGGACAGGTTCTCTGTGTGAGAGGTTGAGGTTCTCTAGAGAGACCTCTCTAGAGTCTTCAGAGTCAGGGCAGCTTGGGAAGGAAGGTAAAACCCGGGCAGAACCAGGAGGTGCCCTCAAAGTGATTTTGAAGAACATTTGGATGTAGGGAGAAGGGTCAGATGAGAAGCTAGGAAGAGGGGGCCAAAGGGCCTTCTTGGGAAACCGGGGGCCTGGTGGGAGGAAAGACCTTTAACTCCATTTACTCCCGCTCTCCCAACCTCTCTTAGGAGCTCCCCGGCCATCTTCAGCCCTCTCCCCGCCTCCTCCAGCCCAGCAGGTTGGCAGGAGAGAGAAGGGGGAAGGGCCCTTGCTATAAAGGCTGGGCAAGAGGCTGACAGAAGAATGGGGACAGTCCACAGAGTCATAAGGGCTCCAAGGTCTTTCCCTGTCCACATCTGTTATACCAGACTGTGAGTCCCAGGGAGCTGGGACTTTATCTCCTACAATGCTGCCCACCCAGCCCCCAGCACAGTGCTTGGCCCCTTGAACTAACAACCTGAGATCCAGGAGTCCCTGGCACCACTCTCCGACCCGGGGAAGCTGCCTCCTGTCTGCGCACTGAAAGAGCTTAGCCAGAACACTGAGGCCCAGGGGCGCAGGTTCAGGGATTTCCCTCTTGGATGGAGGCTCTGGGGAATGAATGAGGGCTTGATCCCCAAAGCCTGGCTGGGTGTGATCATGGCGCCCCCTGGTGGCCCCAGTGGGTCAACTGGGTCCACCCAATGCTCGCTACTCCCTGGTGCTAAAGCTATTGCATCCTCTGTCTGGTGGTTGCTGAGAACAGTCCCTGCCTTGCAGAGAAGCCTGCCTTCCCTTTGGCTTTGAGAACCCGAACAGGGAGAGGTGCCTGTGGCTTGTGTGTCCGCCCCCTCTCTTAGCCGGGGCTCTGACCTGTCGCTCCAGCTGCTGCAAAGACTCTACCCACGAGGAGGCTCCTTAGTGGGGATCAGGTCTCCCCCGTGTGGGATAGAAGCAGGGCACCTCTTTCCCTGTGCCAGGGTCTCCCTCAAACAGTCTGGGGGGAGGGCAGTGGTTTCTCACCTCACTGCCCTTGGCTAGGGCAAAGCCACCACCCAGAAGGAAGACGATATTCCAGGGCATCTTCTCATTCACTGTCTTCCAGTTGAGGAGGGCAGGAGGGGCCTTCAGCCTCCCTGGTTTGTCTATTTCCCAGGCAGAGGAGGATGGGTCACCAAGGGCCAACAGGTTTTCCCTCCCCTCCACTTGGGTCTGTCTCTGGGTCCCTATCTGACTTTAATGCACGTGGGAGAGGGACCCTCAGTTCGGCAACATCCTTACTTTGCCCCTGAGCTCCTGCACCCTTGGCAACTCATCCCCGCTTCTCTGGGCTTTTACCACTCCTGTCAAGTGTGGTTGAAGGCACATTTCATGACAGAAGGCAGAGGCTGCCCAGAGCCCCTTCCCTGCCCCAGTCCAGGTTCTTACCTGGATCCTGAGTCAGCCCTGGGATCTTGGAGGGCACCAAGAACATAATTATGCCAATGAAGATGGCCACTGTCCCATCGGACGCCATGCTGTGGGCAGGGCAAGCAGGGCAGGCTTAGTGGCTCAGGTCTGCTCAGGGTCATCGGGTGGAAAGGCGGTGGAGAGGAGCCCCCTCCCACAGACGTGCCAAGTCCTCTTGACACGTCCTCCCCACCGTGTTACCTCCTGGTCGGCGCCAGGAGGTGAGCCCCAGAAGGATTCCCTGTCTCCCCCAGAATGCTCACCTTTTCCCATCCTTGTCGGGAAAAGCCAGGTTGCCCCAGCCAAGGAAAAAGCCGGGCTCCCGAGTGAACCATAGCACCACCAAGATGACAAAGAGGACAGAGACAGCCTTCTCTGCAAAGCTCATGGGGCCCAGTAGCTTGTGTTCTGTTCGGATGATGTGGAAGGCTGCCTGCTCTTGCTCCCGCTCGTGTCCGCCAAAGCCAAAGTTCTTCAGGAAGCTGCAGGCAGGGGGCGGGGGAGGGGGCAGGATGGGGGGCAGTTCTTGAGGGCCCCGCACCAGGCAGGGGAAGCAAGGGGTTCTGAGTGCCTGTGTTATACTGCCGAGACCACCTCAGTGTTGCCACATGAAGGCCTTGGACCCACCCAAGGTTCTGGAAGAAGAGTAGAAGACTCTCAGGGCGTCACGGTTCTTAGTTAGCAGAGGCAAGGCTGGGGCTCCAGGGACAGATCTCTCCATCTGCCCCATTGACTCCCTGTCCCTCCAGAAACTCTCTTGTGCTAAGCCGTCCTTTGCTCAGAGTGAGGTGGATCTAGAGGCCTGGACCCCACGGTTCCTTCTGACTCCAGATCACCCTCCCCTCTTCCAACAGCCTTTCGGGAAACCCTCCCCTCCCTCTCCTACCTGCTTCTGGGCATCCAACTCCTGCCAGCCTGAGCCCCACCAACATCACTCTTAGAGGCACAGAGGCTGCCACTCGCTCCTGTGTGCCCCTTGCTTCACTCAGGTTTATTTCTGACTTTTCTCTTGGGCAAATCTCAACTCCCCGAGGGACTGTGCATTCCTCAATGGCAAAGGCCACAATTCACACATCTTTGAATCCCCTGTGGTGCCTTGCATATGCTGGTCTCTTTGACTACACCTCGCCTTGTACCAGTGCCCAGCCTCAACCCAGCCTCCTTGCACCTGCCCAAGCGAATTTTCCAAAGGACAGCAGCAATACTTAAAAGCTTTCAATGTGTCGGGAGCCTGGGTGTTGAGCATTCGACTTCAGCTCAGGTCATGATCTCGTGGTGTGTGAGCTCGAGCCCCCACCTTGGGCTCTGTGCTGAGAACTCGGAGCCTAGAGCCTGCTTGGGATTCTGTGTCGCCCTCTCTCTCTGCCCCTCCCCTGCTTGCATTCTGTTTCTCTCTCTCTCAAAAACAAATAAACATTAAAAAAAAACCCAAAAAACATTCAATGTCCCCCCCCCCTTACTTCCCTCCCTCCCCACCACCACCTGGACAGGAAGGGCAAATAACAACTCATACCACAATACCATTCATATCACTACTCCGAGCCTGTACTCGTAGCAGACATCACCAGTCAATCCCAGACCCAATTCCAACTGAGCTCTAGCAAGGTCTCACATTCACAAGGTTTTCTTTTCTTTTCTTTTCTTTTTAAAACATATTTATTTATTTGGGGGAGATCACAAGTTGGGGGGCAGAGAGAGGAGGACGGAGGTTCCAAAGCGGGCTCTGTGCTGACAGGCTGACAGCAGTGAGCCTAACGTGGGGCTCGAAAGCTCAAACCGGGGTACTGCGAGATCATGACCTGAGCCAACCTGAAGTCGGACGCTCAACCGGCTGGGCCACGCAGGTGCCCCAAGGCCTCACAAGATTTTCCTCAGACTTCTAGTCACTACCAGTAACCCAGGGTTGGAAGTAAGAATAAAGCCTATTTACTACTCTTGGTCTCAAGGGCAAGGTCCAAACTGTTTATGTGGCACACAGGATCCTCCATAATCTTCCCCTGCTTACTTCTCCAGCTTCAACTCCTAATATTCCGTTTTGCTCTTTACGTTTCAACCAAACAAAACTAGAGTTTTCCCAAACACATGGTCTTTCTTGCCTCTGTACCTCTGCACAAGCTGTTCCTGCTGCCTGGAATGTCTTCACCCCATTCTCTACCTGGCTGGCTTCTAGTTCTACACGACTCACTTCGGTCAGCATGTCCTCCGGGGGCCTTCTGGCATCTCCACTATCCTGGGCCGTGTTCCTGCACCCCCGGACTTCCTTCTGTCACGGCCCCTGCCATACCATCACCCATTAGATGGTGAGCTCCAAGAACAGGGCCCGTGCCTAATGTCCTCTAGCATTCTCCATGCCTAATACGGGGCCAGATGTAAGTAGAGAGCAACAAATGCTTTTGTAAGTGGCCATGTTCACGGTGCACTCAAGCATTTACCAAAGGACTGTGGAGCCTTATGGGATGGATCTGGCCTGGGCATCAGGAGACCTGGTTTTCAATGTCAGCATGGACAAATCTAGTTGAATACCTCCCCTCGAGCCTCCGTTTGCTCATCTGCTAAATGGGGTCATACTCTCCATCCAGTAAGTCCCTCAAATGGGGATGCTAGGTACATAGGCCTTGGGAGGGGATTATATCCTCTGTCACAGTGGCCAGCCACCTGGTTACCCAACGGGAAGCTCCCAGAGGGTAAGGGCGGGCGCCCGGGCTTCTTTCGTTCAGTCCACCACTTACTTGAACCCCAGGAAGAGCACCTGCAGCCACAGCCAGGCAAGCAGCAGCAAGATGACCATGGTGGGGAAGGCAAAGCCGAACCAGGAGGCGAAGTTCACCACGTTGCCATTTTCGGGGAAGAGCCTGAAGGGGGATACGGGCTGCTGCGTGACCCTGCCCAGTGACCGGCCTCCCTGGGGAAGGGCAGGTGCCCCGCCCCCCAGCCCCAGTCACTCACGAGTTGACCTGGCCTTGCAGCACCAGGTTGGGGGTGGTGCCGGTGAGCGTGGCGATGCCCCCGATGCTGGCCGAGTAGCACACACACAGGCTCATGCCCTGGCTAAAGCGGACCCGCTGCCTGTCCTTCTGTGCCTTCGGCTCTGAAGAAGCAGGCGGGACAGGGTGGACCTGCCCATTATCTGGGAACGAGGGAGAGCTTCGGTGGGGGGTGGGCGCAGGGCCACCTCTGGGGAGCATGGCCGGAATGTTCTGCAGCCTCCGGGGGCCTTGTCAGTGGACAGCTGAGACCCCCCCCCCCAGGTGAGGGGAGCGGGCAGGGGTGCGTCCAGGTTTGCAAGGGAGGCTCAGGCCGGGTGGGTCCTCAGACACCATGTGGCCCAAACTCTCTCTTGACAGAGGGTGATGGAGACACAGAGAATGGAAGAGGACTATTCAAACAGGACGAACAGAGCCTGGATCCCTGATGGCCCACCCAGACTCTGGCTCCCTGCCTCCCAGGGTGACCCAGCATCTTGGTTTGCCCAGGACTGAAGGGATTCTCAGAACATGGGACTTTTTTTTTTTTTTTTACATTTATTCATGTTTGAGAGACAGAGAGAGACAAGGATGAGTGGGGGAAGGGGCAGAGGGAGGGAGACAACAGAATCCGAAACAGGCTCCAGGCTCTGAGCTGCCAGCACAGAGCCCGACTCGAGGCTCGAGCCCGTGAACTGTGAGATCATGACCTGAGCCGAAGTTGTATGCTTAACCGACTGAGCCAGCCAGGCGTCCCGGAACATGGGACTTCAAAACATTTTTTATGATTTTATTTTTTAAAAATGTTTATTATTTATTTTGAGAGAGAGAGAGTGTGTGAGCAGGGGAGGAGGAGAGAGAGAGGAAGAGAGAGAATCCCAAACAGGCTCCACGCACAGTGGATCCTGACTCGGTGTGAGATCCCATGACCCTGAGCTCATGACCTGAGCCGAAATCAAGAGGTGGACGCTCAACCGACTGAGCCACCCAGGCGCCCCGTGGGACTTTTTGTTTTAAAACTAAGACAGTCTTGGGCAAACCAGGACAAGTTGGTCACTGTACATCTTGCCTCCCTTTTGTCTCCCTGGGGGCTCCAAGATGACCACTCCCGTCGTGGACATCATCTCAGACCCTCCCCAAGGGCCGGGGCTGGGGGCGGGGCAGGGTCGAGCCTCATCCTTCTCACCAAGCTTGGTCACGTCCTTCTGGGGACTTGGTTCCTGGAGCTCAAAGGTGGGGTTGTCGCTGCCCTCCTCTACATCCTTGCTTGTGGGCGTCTTGTACAGCTGTTCCAGAACAGCATGTGCGATGGGCACCATCATGGCCGTGGTGGCTGTGTTGCTGATCCACATGGACAGGAAGGCCGTGACCAACATGAAGCCCAACAGCAGCCTAGGGACAGACAGACAGACACACTGGCTGGTGTTCCAGTGTGCCTGCGGGGACTGGATACCCAGCACACCACCCGCTCCAGGTTCCCCAGTCCTGGTTGGTGAGCACTCACAGGGCAGGCCGCACCCCGATGATGAGGAGCACGCGGAGGGCAATGCGTTTGTGCAGATTCCAGTGCTCCACAGCGATGGCCACGAGCAACCCCCCGACGAACAGGATGTTGGTGTCCTTAAAGTACTCGATGCACACCTGGCAGGGAGGGACAGCTGAGAGGCAGGAAGGGGTCTCCCCCTGTGCCCCTGTGCCCCTGGGCAGAAGCTACAGTCACTGACATTCCCACAAACAGTGGTTGGTCTCTGGGCTCTCGGAACCAAATGGAAATGGTCTTTGGATCATCTTCCATTTAATATTAACCAGTTCCTGTCTTCCTGCCAAACTCCTTCTTTCTCGCCTCAGGAACGAGTGCGAGGTAATCTAGCCTGATCCCAGTCATGTTTCAAGCCATTGACTAGGAGCTAGAGAATTTAGTGCGGATTCTGGAAACTACGGCAGTGGTTCTCAAAGTGTGGTCCATAAGCTGGCATCATCACCAACCTGGAGCTTGCGAGGAATGAAATGCTCAGGCCCTGCCCCAGATCCACTGAATCAGAAACTCTGGGGGGTAGGGCCCAGCAATCTGTTTCAACCAGCCCCGAGGATGATCCTGACGCACGCTCATGTTTCAGAGTCACTGAACCCAGAAAATACAAGTTCTTTAGCTGACTTCCAAGGCCCCTTTTCCTGGGTGACCAGGCCTTTCCACCTCCCTGGCCTACACCTGGTCCGCTTTGAATTAGCTCTCAACACCAACCATGCACTTCTAGAACGCACGCCCCCCACCCCTGCTCCCCTGCGTCTTCTAGCTGACTCCTCCTTTAGTGCTCCCTGACCTGCCAAGCAGAGGCGAGGACCCCTCTTCCGTGTGCGCTGCCTGTGAGGAGTCTTCTTCCTTCACCAGTGTTTTAGAGCAGACCCCCTCCATACGGGGAGCCTTTCCTCTTGGGAAAGGGGGGAGGCTTACCTCGGAGGCATCCATTATGCCCATCATGGGGTACAGGATGATGGGGAAGAGGGCGGTGACAGCCAGGGGCAGAGCCTCGGTGCACCAGAAGAGCGCCATGAGGATGATGGAGTAGGCACAGTAGGCTTCCTGTGGGCGAGAGAGGGGTGGCAGAGCTGTTGCTGGGGCAGGCCTGTGTCCCGGAGTCACGTCACCTCCTGCCCCCAGAGAAAACAGGCCATTTGTAACAGCGGAGTGAGAGCGTGTGAAACCCACAGTCACTGATAACAGAGTCTAAGTCCCATTTCAAAACGGAAATAAAAAACAAAGCAAGGCACTCACCACCTTGTCTTTGACCTTGAGGAGGCTAGGCATTATGATCCAGCCATACTGAAGAGTCTAGATTTGGGAATCAAGCCCCACTCAGCCCGAGGGCATTGCAGTGGGCCAAAGTGAGGATCCCGCGGAGGAGATGGGGCTCATCTAGAAAAGACCCGGGGCCTGGCCAGTGTAGACTCCAGCCTGGCACCTCGGCCTTCCCTGGCTTTTTCAGAGCCTGTAAGAATATATTTGTATGACGAGGTAATGCATGTTTGTTCCCTCTCCCAGAAGGTGAGCTCCGTGAGGACAGACTCCATTTTGCGGCATCTAGGTGCTTGGAGCTCAGAACCCAGCAGGCTTCAGAGCAAATTTTTTCTGAAAGACTGAATCACTGGGAAGTTTTGGAATAGTGGGAGCAAGCCTGGCCTGACCACTGCATCGCACATTTCCAGGGGGTGCCATTCACATTTATAGAAGACGTGAAAGGTTCCCCCATCCCCGACTTGTGCAGGGAGTTGGTGGGAGGGGTAAACCCTGAGACACGGTTTTGCAAGCCTTTGGGTACCAGAGGCTCTCCTTTCTCTGACAGGGCCCCCAGGTCTAGAGGGGGCTGGCCTCAGACGTGGGAGGGGACTTGGAGCAGAAATGGAAGTCAGACAGTCGCCCCGGCGTCCTGGGGCCCCAGTGACATGGAAGCCTCCAGGGGAGCAGGTGTGCACATCCAAGGCTCCCCCGGGGCACCAGCTGGCTCTGTGGGCGGAGGCAAGGGGCTGTGTTCAGAAGCAAGGAGCTGTGTGCTGGGACAGTGGGCTGGGAGGCCCCTCCTCTCTGACCTGTCTCAGCTGTCCCTGGCCCTCTTGTTTTCTCCACCTGGTGCAGGCCGTCCTCACGACCCTTAGTACCTCATGCCCTTAGTACCCTAAGTTTGGGAAGGGTCCCTGGCGGTAGCCAGGGGGAAGAGGAAGCTGCTGTTTATTGAGCAACTCTTAGGAGCTGGGTGTTTTCCTACCTGTGGTTACAAGAAACTCAAACAGCCATTAAGGTGGGTGTGGTGGTCCCAGGTTATAGAGGAACTTGAGAAGGTAAGTGGCTCTTCAAGGTCACAGAACTGGGGCCGAGCAGAGCAGGGAAGACCCAGGCAAGGTATCTAGATTGCAGGATTCCAAGAGCGTTTCCCCAGTGTCCCAGGGAGAGGGCACCCCTCGACTGGAACAGCATGCAGCTGCAGGGCCAGGTGATGCCAGGCTCACTTTCTCATCATGAAATTTCCACCATCTCTCCTCACCCTGGACGTGAACTCTTGGGCCCCAGGGGTGGGGCCACCTTGACCTTCGCCCAGAGACCCGCCCCTCCCCCCCCCCCCCCCCCAGGAGGCCCGTTTTGCTGAAGCTGCTGTTCCTCAAGCACTTTCTCACTTGCAAGAATTGCAGGGATGGTTACTCATCCTCCCCTGGGGCTAAGGGCAGGCCAGCCCCTCTGGACCCTGGTGTCCCCCCTCCCCCAGCCCCCTGGGAATTCTCTGGCCAGAGACAAGGAGGGGGCTGGGGTAGATGATCACTGCTGATGCAAGAAGAAAGTGCTGCTAACGACAGCAGAAGCATCCCCAGGACTACTGCGTGCCAGGCTCCGCGCCCTCCATGCTTCAGAGGATTGTCGAGTTTAGTTGCTCTGGGAGGTAATGACTCTTGTTCCCATTCCACAGATGAAGAAACGAAGGCACAAGTAAACGAAGTAAACGGCTCAGCGTCACACGCTAGCAAGTGAAGAAGCCAGGCCATCTGGGTCTTGAGCCTCAGCTTTTGCCTTCTACCGTGAGCTCGGTCCCTCACAGTCACAGGGTGTCCCACAGCCTCAGGTTCACTGTGACTAGTGGGGTGTATGAGGGTGATCTGGGGCTCTGAATTCAAACAACTACCTTCCAGGGGCGCCTGGGTGGCTCAGTCAACTGAGCATCTGACTCTTGGTTTCGGCTCAGGTCACATTCTCAAGGTTCATGAGTTCGAGTCCTGTGTTGGGGTCTACGCGGACAGCGCAGAGCACGCCTGGGATTCTCTCTCTCTCCCTGTCTCTCTGCCCTCCCCCTGCTCTCTCTCTCTCAAAAATAAGTAAACATTAAAAGAGAGAGAGAGAGAACTATCTTCCTGGGGGCCTGCCACTTCCTGTCATCAAGCTCCAGATAAGTTCCTTCTCTTCTGAGACCACAGAGAGTTGTTAATAGTGAAGCCCTGCCCACCACGCTCCAGCGTATTCAGTCTCTGGCTCCCCTAACCCTTTACGTCTCTTCCCCTCCTCCCCCTCCTCCTCCTCATACGTCTATCTGTCTCTGGATCAAACCCCAAACCGGTTTCAAAGTTCTCTCCAGAAGCCTTCGGTGGCCCTGGTGGCCCTGGCCCTGTGTCTCCATCTTACCCTTGTGGGCAGCCTTGTCTGGATGTGGCATAATTTGCTGACCTGTTCTTCCTGGGTCATAGGATTCTTAACTGGGGCATGGAGTCCCAAGGAATTTGAAGGAAAGATATTTCATCTTTGCGCTAACATCTAAGTTCCAAACGTAGGCGGTAAAGCCATGGTGATTGGTGATTTTGTCACAGGCCCGATCGTGGCTGCCAGCCATCGGATACGTGCACAGATCGCTTGTTGCTGTTATCTCAAAAGAGTGTTTGTATCCATCACTGGTTTTGAAATTATAGTAGTTACACCAACGCTAGAAGCTTAATGCATTAATAATCGCCTATATTTCTGAAGTGCGATGTTTTTTCATGTTTTCATTACCGTATTCCAACGTGATTGGTTTCCTTTATAATCCTATTCGTTTTATTTTGTGCATTTCACTTTATTTCTTAAAGCTTCTATTTGTTTATTTTGAGAGAGACAGACAACGCGAGTGGGGAAGGGGCAGAGAGAGGGAGAGAGAGAATCCCAAGCAGTCTCGGCACTGTCAGCACAGAGCTGGAGGTGGGGCTCGAACCCACGAACCGTGAGACCATGACCTGAGCTGAAGTCAAGAGTCAGATGTTTAACCGACTGAGCCACCCAGGCGCCCCTATTTTGCGCATTTTAAAGCAATATTCTGAGAAGAGTACATAGTGTTTACTAGATAGTCAAAGGTATTCTTAACTCAGACATGGGTTAGAATCCCTGAGAGAGGTTTTCAGCCTCCTCCATTTTGACCTCAATCTGTACTTTCTAACTGATGAAATTCTTCTTTCCAGCGTATCTCTTAGCTCAGGCAAAAGACTTGAGTGGCAAAGCATCCCGTGATGAGGACCCAAACTGCCCCCTGCCCCGCCCCGCCCAGCAACAAGGAAAGCCCTGACACCAGCAAGACCTCATGTGATTGACCCCAAGAAAGTGATTGACCTGACCTTCCCTGCCCACCCAAACATACCCACCGATGTTTGTCCCACATTCTCCTTATATAAACCTGGAAGTATTTTCAGCACCTGGAGACAGTCTTTGAGATGTTAGTCCACTGTCTTCCGGGTGGTGGCCTCACTGAAATTAATTTCTTTCGCAGGCTCCAGGCTCCAAGCTGTCAGCACAGAGCCTGACACGGGGCTTGAACTCATGAACTGCAAGATCACGACCTGAGGCCAAGTCGGACGCTTAACCGGTTGAGCCGCCCAGGCGCCCCTGTCCCTCTGCCTTTGGATTTTGTCAGCAGCGAGTCACCCAACCTGGTCTGTTTGCAGCCCAGGAGCCGGGTGCTCTTGCACACCTGGGACCCAGTTACATCCCCACCCTAAGGCAAAAAACAAAAAATTTACTTAGCAGCAACTATCGGGGCTTCCCTGAATCTCCTTGGGAGTTTTCCAAACTTCTAGGTCCATCTCTGTGTGGAATTACTCTCTGGGCGGGAGCAGGGGTCTCTACTAGTCCCAGCAATGCGGTGGGAGCCAGAGTGAGGAACTGACGGAGGGTGGGGAGGTCGGGTGGGCGCTCTGCATATGTTCTCTCTCTTTTCCTCCTCCCTCTCATCTCCATGGGGCAGTGGCTCTCCCCACGCGCACTGAGAGGTGAGGAAGGAACCTGGGCTGGCCAAACTCAGCTGGCCACCTGTGGCGTGGGACCGGGACGCTCTGGCCACTGGCAGCTCCCCAGGCTGCGGCAGGCCAGGCGCTACGCATGCCTTTGTCATAGTCACAGCAGGTGCTGCTGTCCAAGGTGGCCCTCCTGGAGCTCAGATACCACCAGGGAAGAGTTTGTTTCTGGCAGCAAGAGCTTTTTCCTGCCCCAGTCACTACCTTGCGCAGAGCAGTAGGGGAGGGGTTCCCCAGATCTGTTCCTTAGCTGAGGATTTGCTCCTCTCTCAGTTCCGTCTATGGGCTCCCGAGGACGGGGAGTGAGGCTTTTCACCTCCGCGTCTCTCGCCCCTGGCTCGTTGGCTGGTGCTGGCCTGGGCGTGAAGCCCTCCTTTCCTGCCTGTGTCACCCCAACACCTGCCCCAGGAAGCATCCCGTTTGGATCCCCGTTTTCTTCAACCTCTGGGGAGTCGCTGTACCGGGAGCCCCTCGGGGGGAAACCCTTCATCAGGCACTCATTTGACAGTTCCTCAAATATTCCATCCTTCCTGCAGCCACAGGGCCTTTGCACATAATTTCCTCTCTTCTCTCCCCACTTTGCCTAGTTGATGTCTATTTACTCTTGAGCTCTTAACTCAAGTATTCCTTTTTCAGAGAATCCTCCAAGGGTTCCAGGCTCGGTTATAATCCCCATTTTCACACACCTGGCCCCTGTACCTCCTGCATAGCACCCATCACAGTCTGTAATGAAACACTTCGTTTCATGAATTTCTTGATGAACGTCCACCTTTTCATCAGACTGTACTCTCTAGGGAGTACAAAGCCTGAGTCTGTTTCTGCCCACCCCACCAGGCACCTATATGGAGGGGACACACACACACTACATGGAGAATGAATATTAGGCACTAGGGATACAGACGTGAGTCAGGCCCGGCCCTGGCCTTCAGGGACTCCAAATGCCCCCATGTGGGCTGGCCCGTGGGGCCACAGATGGGTGTGGATAGAAGAGATAAGGCTCAGAGGGCTTCCAAACCCCAAGAATGGCAGCTCGCTTCTTTTGTAATGGGAAACACAGGTCAGAGGTCAGGAAATCTGTGTGTCCAGGCCCAGCTTTATGGCTGTGTCCTTGGGCAAGTTACTTAACCTCTCTCGGCCTTTGTCTTTTCTTTCTTTCTTTCTTTCTTTCTTTCTTTCTTTCTTTCTTTCTTTCTTTCTTTCTTTCTTTGTCTCTTTCTTTCTTTCTGCAAGCAACATTGATCATTTCCAGCTGTACGCACATTTATCTCCTTATCTGCAAATGGGAATAAAAGAAACACCTACCTCGCTGGGCAATCGTAAGGATAAAGGATGTGAATGCGTAGGTATATGTCATAAAGGACCACAGATGACAGTGAGCAGATGGTGGGGTTGGCGTTGGGAGATGAACGTGCTCCTGGGCTTCTGGGGAACCAGGGTGGATGCACGAGGCACAAATGGAGATGCGACTTCCAGATAATCCAGGGCAGACTCTGGACCCGGGGTGTGGGCAAGGTGTGGGACCTGAGGGCATCACGGCCTTTACCCGTCATGGGCATAGAGCAGCCCGTGGTTGTTGGGCAGCAGAGAATGTGCCTGTAGTCTCAGAGGTATCACAACTGACTCCTCCTGCTGATTGAAGGTTAACCCAGGGAGGGGGGATGGGTTGGCACACAGCGGATCACTCCCACTGCCCCTCTGCCCCCGGTAAGTAGGGATGCCGCTGGCAGGAAGCACTCCTGGGTCTGGGGAGGGAGGTGAGGCACTAGTGCTCACCTGCCAAGCACCATGGCAAAGGAGAGATCAGAGTGGGATCCCAGAGGAGAAGGGGCCCCCTTCCCGGAGCCTCCATCTGTCTGGGCTGAGGAAGGCTCTCAGAGGGGACACTGAACGGGTATTGAGGGATGAATAGGAGTTTGGTGGGCAGGTGGGCAAATGGTGTTGAGGTGAGGGAGTAAGCAGAGAGGGAACAGAATGAGGCATAAAAGATTTCAGTGCATTCTTGGAGGAGTGTAATGCTTGGAAAAGGCCTTGTCTGCCTTGAGGGAGATCTAGGACTTTATCTGGAAGACGGGGGTAAAAAGTGGGCCCCTTAAAGGGTTTTAAGAGGAGAGAGTGACATGGTCAGGTTACACTGATGCTACCATTTGTGATTAAAAAAAAATTTTTTTTTAATATTTCTTTATTCTTGGAAGACTGAGAGACAGAGTGCAAGCAGGGGAGGGACAGAGAGAGAGAGAGAGAGAGAGAGAGAGAGAGAGAGAATTTGAAGCAGGCTCCAGGCTCTGAGCTGTCAGCACAGAGCCCGACACGGGGCTCGAACCTATGAAGCGTGGGATCATGACCTGGTCTGAAGTTAGATGCTTAACCGACTGAGCCACCCAGGCGCCCCAACCATTTGTGATTTTTAAAAATATGTGCACAAGTGTTTGTATATACATGGGAAAATCTCTGATTCAGAGATTCTTGCCCATTTTTTGTACCAAGTTTTCCTTGGCAGCCTGATGAAGTCTTCTAACTCTTTCTCAGAATAATGTTTTTAGGGGGGCCTGGGTGGCTCAGTCAGTTAAGCGTCCGACTCTTCATTTCAGCTCAGGATCTCATGGTTCATGGGATCAAGCCCCATGTCGGGCTCTGTGCTGACAGTGTGGGGCCTGCTTGGGATTCTCTCCCTCTTTCTCTGCCCCTCTCCTGTTTGCATGGGTGCTCTCTCGCTCTCACTCTCTCTCTCAAAATAAATAAATACATAAGCTTAAAAAATAAAAGAATAATGTTTTTAAATCTGTTAAATAAAATGCATAGAATCACAAAGGAGACCAACTGCATTGAAATACAGTGATTGCAATATGAAAGATGGGCTAGATAATGACATATGTTACTCTTTCTTAGCTAACAAGACCTTCACTGGCTAACAGCTACTGTAATTGCAAAGTCACGATTAACAAACAATATTTCAAGGTACCTGCAACAGCTGTAATGCAATGTGAAAACATCTGTGATTTCTACCGGTGGCGAAGTCAAAGACATGGTTAATACTATTGTGCTTTGTGGGGCATCTGGGTGGCTCAGTCGGTTGAGCATCCGACTTGGGCTTGGGTCATGATCTCACTGTTGGTGAGTTCGAGCCCCGAGTCGGGCTCTGTGCTGACAGCCTGGAGCCTGTTTCGGATTCTGTGTCTCCCTCTCTCTCTACCCCTCTCCAGCTTGCACTCTGTCTCTCTCTCTCTCTCTCTAAATAAATAAATGTTAAAAACAAACAAACACTACTGTGATTTGTTATCTACATTCATGACAGAAGTAAATTTTCTTTAGGTTATTGATGATAAAATACAGGTGTTTTTTTTTGTTTTTTGTTTTTTTTTCTATCCAAGTACACAGACGTCCTGAATTTTCCCCACAGATTCCCAAGGATGAGGAGTCCCTGCTCTGGAGCATGCACACCGTGCTGGCCACTGAGACTGCCCTCAGAAAGGGCACTGGGGCGGAGAGTGGGCTGAAGGCCTCTCCATTTCACTCTTTGGTACTGCTGAATTTTGTACGATGTCAGTATGCCATCTAACGACACAGATAAATCATCTAAAGATGAAAACAGCGAGCAGGGCACCTGAGCAGCTGTCGGTCGAGCGTCCGACTCTTGATTTCAGCTCAGGTCATGATCCTAGAGTGGCAGGATAGAGCCCAGCTTTGGGATTCTCTCTCCCTCTCTCTCTGCCCTGCCCTTGCTCATGCACGCACACCCTCTCTCTCAAAAAAATATAAATAAATATAAATAAAAAATTTTTTAACAAAATAAGTAAAATGGGGAGCTTACACCTGCTATATTGCGGCAAATGAATTGGAAGACACAGGATGGGAGTCCAGGGGGTCCCAGGAGGCTCCAAGAGGCCGTGCTGCGTGTCCAGTGGGCAGATGGCGGGGGCTCAGAGCAGGTCATAGCAGTGAAGATAGAGGGAAAGGATGGACTCCGGAGATATTAGGAGAAGACAGGGTTTGGGTGATGGTTCGTGGCTTGGGCAGAAGAAGTGGGCGGAGAAAACTCTCCGGTGCTCGTCCTGGGTGTCTACATACATGGCAGGGACCACAAGGAGGGGAGACAGGCTGAAGGGGGTTGAGGAAGGAGGTGCAGAGTGGGCTGGGGCGTGTGATATTCTTTCCGGGAATAATAGGCCCGTCCATGCTACATGCCTAATCTTTTTGAGACACTGAATATACAAAGTGGACAATGGCCACTCCACATATAAAAATATGCCCTGAAACCTCTGCAGCAACCAGCCCGGCTAGCCCAACCACAACGTCTCCAACAATGGCCCAAACAGTCTAGATTTGCTCAATGACCGCCAGCTTCCCTCATTTTTGTCCCCACTCTCTACCCCCACTTCCAACTCAGGACCAACCAGTGAAAGCTAAATATACATCCTTAACCCATCACACGGGACGCTCCGCGTCTGTCAGCCCCCGTCCAGCTTCCCCTGCCAACAGCCTCCAGTCAGGGCGGACCTGAAGCCTACCCTTTTCCACTCTAAACCATTCCCACCTCCCGCCCACCTTTGAGGCTCTGCGAAAAGCAAGCGATGGTGGCTGACTCCCTTCCTATCCTTTGCCTGATCTCATTTGGGAGATCTTTGTTTATTTCTGCACCATAATGGGAATGAGTTTGTTACATCATCTTCTGTTCTAAGAGGCCGAGGGGAAACAATGGGGCTCTGAGTGTCAGAGAAGACAAACTGTTGGGGGAAGAGTCCTGACCTCACAGCCTGGGCTGGGGCCAAGTCCGCCTGAGTCCACAGAAGAGCAAAACAGCAGGCAGGAGTGCTATGAGCAAAGCACTCCCACACTCCGTGGGTTTGATTCCCACCACAGCCCCAGGCCTTGCTGCTGGAAACTGTCCTGGCTAAGGTTCTACCTTGCTTTCCCACTCTTGACCTTCACTGAGCAGGTGCTGATAGGCATGGACATAATTTGGTCGTTTGGGCAAAAAGTCCAAGCCGGGGAGATTTCTCCAGGGATTCCCCTGGACTTGGAGGCTGGGTCCTTCTAATCCTCCTCCCAGGCCCCTCAGAGACCAGAAAACCTGTCTCCAACTAGTCCCAGCACTGCTGGCGGCCACAATTTGGGATTACACCTCACAACTCTCGTGGGGGTGACTAGCCGCACCTCTCCCTCCTACTTCATAGGTGGGAACACTGAGGCCCCCTCGTGAGGACAACAGCTCACGTGAACAGAAGTCATCTCTGGAAAAGAAGTGCCTGGGGCTAGGGGCGCTCGGGTGGCTCAGTCGATTAAGTGTCCGACTTCGGCTCAGGTCATGATCTCCCAGTCTGTGGGTTCGAGCCCCGCGACGGGCTCTGTGCTGACAGCTCAGAGCCTGGAGCCTGCTTCGGATTCTGTGTCTCCCTCTCTCTCTGCCCTCCCCTGCTCACACTGTCTCTCTCTCTCAAAAATAAATAGAGAGAGGAAGAAAGAAAGAAAGTGCCGGGGGCTAGTTGTGTCTTCCAGGGGCTAGGAATTCAGACAAGGGGCAGACGCAGAGAACCACCCGTTACTGAGCCCTGGGTACCGGGCACTTTATGTACACGGGTTATTTCGTTTTATCTTCAGTGCAGCACCTTAGGGGGAGAGGGCTGGTGAGGTGAACAGCTGTTCATACTACAGAGTGAATTTGGACCCACATCTGTCTGACTCCCAAACCCCTGTTTTGTTCCATGGACTCTGCCTTCTTGACCGAGAGCCAGGAAGTCTCAGAAGATGGAGGTGGGCCCCAGAACTGAGGTCCAAATTCCTTGTACGGTCTTCATGCCTAGGGTGAATCATCCGAGTCCTGCTCTGTCTCTGGGATTCAGGAACAGCTTATAGTAAGGGCGTTTTAATTACACAGATTAAAAAAATTTTTTCTAACATTTTATTTATTTTTGAGAGAGGGAGAGAGAGAGAGAGAGGCAGAGTACGAGCGGGGGAAGGGCAGAGAGAGAGAGAGAGACACAGAATCCGAAGCAGGCTCCAGGCTCTGAGCTGTCAGCAATAAGTCCGGATGTGGGCTTGAAACTCACTCTCAAACGTGAGACTGAACCGAAGTCAGACACTCAACTGACTGAGCCACCCAGGTGCCCCTAATTCCACAGACTTTAAACCTCACACATGCATATACACAACGTACTGTTCGTGTATTCTAGGAGTGCAGCTGATTCAGATTAAGAAATTCTGCCCTCTGTTCTTCCTGTACCTACAATCTGGATTTCAGCTAAGCTCTGTCCGGGCAAACATTGTGCCCCTAGGAGACTGTTTTTACAGATGGTCCCATCGGGTCCTGGGGCAGGGCCAGGCACCTGCGTTTTGACCCTAAAAATCTTTACTCCTTTCTCCTGGCTTTTCAGGGCTGACGACGTTGGCTGACCTCCCCCCCTGCCTCCCTAAGTGAGTTTATACCATCTTGTCCTCACTCTGTTCCCCATGCCACACTGGCCTTTGTTTATCCCTCCACCTTGCCAAGCTCACCCGTGGCCTTGGGCTTTTGCACCGCGTGCCCTGCCTGGACAG